GCCGGCGAGGAGGCCCGACGCGTAGGCGCCGGCGACCTCGACGCGGACGCCGCGCGCCGCGCACGCGGCGAGCACGGGCGCGCCCGTCTGGTCCAAGAGGTGCCAGCGGCCCGCGAGCATGACGGAGTCGAGGGCCGGCGGCCCGCCGGCGCCGTCGCCGCGCGCCGGGTTCGTCGCGTCGAGGATGCGGAGCGCGACGGCCGCGTCGTTGAGGCCGACGGACAGCTCGAGCGGCGCCGGCGCCGCGGCGCCGGCGTCGCCCCGGCGCTTCTTCGCGCCCGGCGTCTCGGCGCCGGCCGGCGCGGGCCGCTTGGTCGCCGCGGCGCGGACCGCCGCGAGGCCCGGCAGCGACCCCGCGAGCGCCGCGGCCTCGAGCGCCGGCGACTCCGGGTCGTGGCACCGGAGGCCCGCGACGACGACGCCCGGGCCGAGGCGGCCCAGGGACTGGGCGTAGCTTTTCGCCGCGCCGGCGGCGCTGTAGTCGAGGACGGGCACGGCGTCCTCGGGCGAGTCGCTGTGTGGCATTCAACCAGTGTTTTGGGCGGTCCCGACCAAACTTGAGAATTCTCGAGCTCGATCGAATCGACGTCGATTCGGCTGAGCTTTGGACGAATCGATGGCTCTCGTCGAGTGCTCGAAGCACGGCCGAAGAGCGTGCGTCGACGCTGTCGCATATGCGCACATTGAAGTCGGGTGGAAGATGTGAATGCCACGCAGATCGACTCGCAGGTAGATCGTCGTCGACGACCCGGGCAGGTTGTCGGCCTCGACGACGTCGCCGGCCGCGACCGTGTCCTTCGTCTTGATGACGCGGCCGACCTTGGTCCAGACGCGCACCTCCTCGTCGAGGATCTTCAGCGCCGCGCGCCGCGTCCGCGTGAGCTTCGCGCAGCCCCGGCGGAGGCCCGCGCCGAGCCGCGACTCGGCGACGCCGAGGCCGTAGTGCGGCGCCGTGTCGAAGTGGCGGAACCCGACCTCGACGCACCGCTCCACGACCTCCTCGGCCTCGTCGTCGCTCAGCTCCTCGACGATGCCGCCCAGGGGCGACGTGCCCACCAAAATGTCGCCGACGGCGAGGTCGGCGGTCTTCAGGGCCAGCGGGCCCGTCGCCGCCGCCGCCGCCGCGCGCGTGTGGCGCGTCGCGGCGACGACGAGGCCGGCGACGACGACGCAGGCGACGGCGACGACGATCGGCAGCGTGTCGACCATGGGCGTGAACTGGGAGCGGAAGCCTATCCACAGTGAATCGGCGAGCGGCTTGCCATCAAGTTGAAGTCATCATTGAGGCTATTACGCCTTCGCACCCTCCTGCAGGCCTCTCTCGGGGCAGTGCTCCGTCTTGTCTGGCTGCGGGGTCGGCGCGGACCGAGCTGAGCCGGCATCCACGAGGGAGCCAAATCGAGCATGAGGGGGTCGGATAATACAACTTGACTTTTGTTTGTCCCACCCCTCAGAAACCGACGCGTTTGGTCGCGTGGGACAGGCCCTCGAATTTAACTCGAACATTTTTCTGGACGATTCATGGTTTTCGTCCCGCCAGCACTCTGGAATTTCCCACCGCGCGTCGCCATCGGCAAGATTTTGCTTACTTGGACCAGCAACCGCTTCCGACGGCGGGCGCCGTAAGCTCAGCGCGGCCCGTGAATTTAACTCGCCGACCCAGGGGTGTTACAAAGCAAAACGTTTGGGTTAATTTATTGAAGTAGGAATCGAAAACCTCATCGAAATCGTACAAAACTGCATCGTTTCGACCGACGGATAACGCTGCGATGATGTGATGCGCCTGCACCGCGCCGTTTTGCGTTAGGTGGTGCACGAAAAGCGCGCGTGCTGCGCCGGGCAGCGACGACGGGGTTCGGGAGCTCAAAAAATCCTGCTGGCGGCATTCTGCGGCGAGACTGTCGATCACTGCGACTGCGGGGCGCGCCGACTCGATTTTTGCATTCCCGGGTCCATATACCGTGACAGCTGGCATGGGGCAACTCATCACCTCTCTGCGGTCGCCCTGCGACTGAATTAGGTTCGAAACTCCCCCGCGCGCGCGACGACGACGACGACGACGACGGCGGCGGCGGCGGCGGCGGCGGCGGCGGCGGCGGCGGCGGCGGCGGCGGCGACGACCGACCTACCGACCGACCGACCCAGAAAATAAGTGCCAGGAGCCCCCTGGGGACCTAGGGGGGTCGCCCGACGCCTCCCCAAGTACGCCCCCATCGGACCCGGTCGAATTTTACAAACCCAGACCCCCATGCTCGATTTCACTCGTCCCGAGGCAAGTCTCCGCCGCTAAATATCCCCGCAGTCAAGCTTCGCAGCACCACTGCGAAGGCGTCGCGTGCGGGCGGGTCATCCGTGAAGCCCGCAGCCGCCGCGAGAAACGCCTCCAGCGCGACCCGCGCTGGCAAGGCTCGCACCTGCTCAATGAACGGGCGATCCACCAGCTCCGGCGGCGGGACCGGGTTGGTTCTAACCATGGCCGCCGCCTCCCCAATTTACCCCATGCCCCCTCCTCAGAAAGAATTTCGCCGGCGGGCTGCTTCAGCAACGCCGGCCAGATAAGAGCATAAGGAGCGAGTATCGACTGAGCTGCAATAGTAAAT